TCGACCTAACTGACACAACCGAACTAGGGACGGAAGTTGACGCCAGAATAGCGCAACCCCTAGTGGAAGGTAGTCATTAAGTGCCCAACCTGCTATCAAGAAGGGGAAAACAGAGGCAACAAACGTCATGTCTTTTTCGGATAAGGACCTGGATCGAATATACTGTCCTCACAATGATGCTCTGGTTGTCACTCTCCGAGTCAAAGATTTTGACGTCAAGCAGATTCTGATCGACCAGGGTAGTTCATGTGAGATCATGTACTACGACACATTCAAGCAACTGAAGCTGCAAGACAAAGACTTGGCGCCTGCAGTTTCTCCCCTGATTGGATTCAATTCCATGCCAGAATGGCTTGTCGGCAAAATAATCCTTCCAGTCAGAGCAGGGAGTGTAACAAAACAAGTGGAGTTCTGGGTATTGAAGGTCCCCTCCACATACAACATCATCTTGGGCAGAACATGGCTGCATGCCATGCGTTCGGTAGCGTCATCATACCATCAGGTAATGCGGTTCCCCAACGACACCGGCATAATTGAAGAAGTCTATGGTGATCAGATCATGTCAAAACAATGCTTCGCCACAGCAAATGGAAGCCGAGTTGCCAAAGGATACGTTCATTCAGTGGAAGAACCAGAAAGTAATGAACTATTCGCGGACGTCGGCAAAAAGGCTGATCAAAAAGCAGTGGAGGACTTGGTGGAGGTAAAAATAGATGAGAAGAACCCGGATAAGTTCTTCTTGCTTGGCTCATCGTTGTTCAGCACTGAGAGATTAGAGGTCTTGGAATTCTTGACCTCTAATATCGAAGTGTTTGCCTGGACACCCTACGACATGCCAGGCATTAATCCAAGCTTCATCAGTCACCAACTCAATGTCCACCCATCCGCCAGACCAGTCATTCAACGCACACGCAGATCGGCACTCCACCACGCCGAAATAATGGCGGAAGAGGTAGGCAACCTGCTAGAGGCAGGAGCAATAAGAGAAGTGCACTACCCAAGATGGATCTCCAACACAGTCGTAGTGCCAAAAAAGAATGGTAAATGGCGTGTCTGCGTCGACTACAAAACGGTCAACAAGGCGTGCCCAAAAGATAGCTTTCCTCTACCAAGGATAGATCAACTGGTGGACCTAACGGCAGGGCATAACCGACTTAGCTTTCTGGATGCATACAGAGGCTACCACCAGATCACCATGCATGAACCAAACCAGGAGGTCACATCCTTCACAACACCAAGGGGATTATATTGCTACGAGGTCATGCCCTTTGGCCTAAAGAACGCAGGGGCGACATTCCAACGGATGGTTACCAAGATGTTTGAACCATTGTTAGGCAGAACAATAGAGGCTTACATCGACGACATGGTGGTCAAAAGCAAGGATGAGAATGACCATCTTAAAGACCTAGGCGAGATGTTCCAGATCTTGAAGAAACACAAGTTGTGCCTCAATGCGTCCAAATGCGCATTCGGAGTTGGATCTGGCAAATTATTGGGCTTCCTTATGACCAACCGGGGTATAGAAGCAGACCCTTCTCAGATTAAAGCAATCCAGGAGTTGGAGAGACCAAACTCAATCAAAGAAGTACAGCATCTCACTGGTATGGCGGCTGCGCTCAACCGGTTCATAAGTAGGTCATCAGACAGACTACGACCATTCTTCCAAGCTTTAAAAGCCAAGTTTGAGTGGGATGAAGAATGCGACCAAGCTCTGGAAAGCTTGAAGGAGTACATGTCTTCCCCACCACTACTTGTTACTCCAGTACCTGGTGAAGAACTCTTTTTGTACCTGGCAGTCTCTCAGCACGCAGTTAGCGCAGTGTTGGTTCGTGCAGAAGGAATACAACACTTGCCCATCTTTTATGTCAGCAAGACATTGTTGGGAGCCGAAACAAGGTACTTGCCCTTAGAGAAACTAGTATTAGCATTAATGATGGCATCCAGAAAATTGGCACACTACTTTCATGCCCACACCATAGTCGTCCTCACAGCTTTTCCACTAAAAGCTTTGTTTGAAAGGGCGAACTTTTCTGGGCGAATCTTAAAGTGGGCGATAGAGTTGGGACAATTCAACATCAAGTTCCAACCCAAGACCGCAATAAAAGCCCAATCTTTGGCAGACTTCGTCGCAGAGTTTACTCCTGGAAGTCATCATATCTGCCCAGTCGACCTAACTGACACAACCGAACTAGGAACGGAAGTTGACGTCGGAATAGCGCAACCCCTAGTAGAGGGTAGTCAATCAAGCACCAAGGTAGACCATACTAAGGACAACAAGGAAGAGACAAACAAAGGCTCACCAACAGTTCAATCAGAGGATGAAGGGCAGACAGTAAACATGGACCTTGAAGAAAACACCATCCTTGACCCCACAACATCATCTGACCCCTCCACTTGCTGGAAATTATTCGTTGGAGAGATGTGGAAGCTCTTTGTGGATGGAGCGTCTAACCGGCATGGTGCAGGGCTTGGCATAGTCCTCATCTCCCCAGACGGCCTGGTTATAGAGCAAGCAATCAACCTTGGCTTCCCAGCATCCAACAATGAAGCGGAGTATGAGGCGCTTCTCGCAGGACTCAAGTCAGCACACTACATAAAGGCCATCGAACTAATGGTTTACAGCGACTCACAACTGGTGGTAAACCAAATTTCTGGCGATTACGAAGCAAAGGATGACAGAATGGCCAAATACCAAGAGCTGGTCAGAACAGAGATCAAAAAGTTCAATGTAGCAAGGATAGAACAAATTGGCAGGGAGGAAAACAGCAGAGCAGACGAACTAGCAGGCTTTACCTCGATGGCAGATGTATCTACCCCTCATCCATTACTCATCGACTACCTACCAAGACCAAGCATAGAAGACCCCGAAGCAGAAGAGGTATGTTGCGCAGAACTAGGCCCCTCTTGGATGGATCCCATCATCCTGTTCCTAAAAGACGGCATCCTACCAGAAGAAAAAAAAGAGGCCAACAGAATAAGGGCAAAGTCGCTGGCCTCAATGGCAGATACATCAATCCCTCATCCATTACTCATCGACTTCTTACCAAGACCAAGCATAGAAGACCCCAAAGCAGAATAGGTATGTTGCGCAGAATTAGGCCCCTCTTGGATGGATCCCATCATCCTGTTCCTGAAAGACGGCATCCTACCAGAAGAGAAAAAAGAAGCCAACAGAATAAGAGCAAAGTCGCAGCGGTTTTGGCTATCTCCATCTTTGGCGTTATACAAGAAGTCATTCTCAGGGCCTTACCTCAAGTGCGTTCATCCCAGTAAAGTAGAGCATTCTTGTTCGAAATACACGAAGG